AGCCATAGGCTCTATCATGTATGCAATGATGTGTACCAGACCTGATGTGTGCCTTGCTATCAGTTTAGCAGGGAGGTACCAAAGTAATCCAGGAGTGGATCACTGGACATCGGTCAAGAATATCCTAAAATACCTGAAAAGGACTAAGGATATGTTTCTCGTATATGGAGGTGACAAAGAGCTCGTCATAAACGGTTACGTCAATGAAAGCTTTGACACTGATCCGAATGACTCTAAGTCACAAACCGAATACATGTTTTTATTAAATGGTGGAGCTGTCAGTTGGTGCAGTTCCAAGCAGAGCGTCGTGGCGGGATCTACGTGTGAAGCGGAATACATAGCTGCTTCGGAAGCAGCAAATGAAAGAGTCTGGATGAAGGAGTTCATATCCGATATAGGTGTCATACCTAGTGCATCGGGTCCAATGAAAATCTTTTGTGACAATACTGGTGCAATTGCCTTGGCAAAGGAATCCAGATTTCACAAGAGAACCAAGCACATCAAGAGACGCTTCAATTCCATCTGCTATCAACTCAAGGAGGGATACATAGAGATTTCCAAGATACATACGGATCTGAATGTTGCAGACCCATTGACTAAGCCTCTCTCACGAGCAAAACATGATCAGCACCAAGACTCCATGGGTGTTAGAATCATTACAATGTAATCTAGATTATTGACTCTAGTGCAAGTGGGAGACTAAAGGAAATATGCCCTAGAGGCAATAATAAATTTGTTATTTATATTTCCTTATATCATGATAAATGTTTATTATTCATGCTAGAATTGTATTAACCGGAAACTTACTGCATGTGTGTATACATAGACAAACAGGGTGTCACTAGTTTGCCTCTACTTGACTAGCTCGTTGAATCAGTGATGGCTATGTTTCCAAACCATAGACATGAGTTGTCATTTGATTAATGGGATCACGTCATTAGAGAATGATGTGATTGACTTGACCCATCCGTTAGCTTAGCACGATGATCGTTTAGTTTGTTGCTATTGCTTTCTCCATAACTTATACATGTTCCTATGACTATGAGATCATGCAACTCCCGAATACCAGAGGAATACTTTGTGTGCTACCAAACGTCACAACATAACTGGGTGATTATAAGGGTGCTTTACAGGTGTCTCTGATGGTGTTTGTTGAGTTGGCATAGATCGATATTTGGATTTGTCACTTCGATTGTCGGAGAGGTATCTTTGGGCCCTCTCGGTAATGTACATCACTATAAGCCTTGCAAGCAATGTAGCTAATGAGTTAGTTACGGTATGTAGCATTACGGAACGAGTAAAGAGACTTGCCGGTAACGAGGTTGAACTAGGTATTGAGATATCGACGATCAAATCTCGGGCAAGTAACATACCGATGACAAAGGGAACAACGTATATCGTTATGCGGTTTGACCGATAAAGATATTCGTCGAATATGTAGGAACCAATATGAGCATCCAGGTTCTGCTATTGGTTATTGACCGGAGACGTGTCTCGGTCATGTCTACATAGTTCTCGAACCCGTAGGGTTCGCATGCTTAACGTTCGGTGATGATCGTATTATGAGTTTATGTGTTTTGTTGTACCGAAGGTAGTTCGGAGTCCCGGATATGATCCTGGACATGCCGAGGAGTCTCAAAATGGTCGAGACATAAAGATCGATATATTGGACGACTATATTTGGAGATCGAAATATTTTCAGGTGAGATCGGGCATTTACCGATATACCGGGAGGTTACCGGAACCCCCCGGGAGGTATATGGGCTTTATTGGGCCATAGTGGGAGAGAGGAGAAAGGAGCAAAGGAGGGGGCGCCCCCCCCCAAGCCCAATCCGAATTGGGAGCCCCCCTCCCTTTCCTTCCTCCTTCCTCCCCCTTCCTTCTCTCCTAATCCAACTAGGGAAGGGGGGAATCCTACTCCCGGTGGGAGTAGGACTCCCCTTGGGGTGCGCCTAGGAAGCCGGCCCCCACCCGCTCCTCCACTCCTTTATATACGGGGGAAGGGGGCACCCCATAGACACACAAGTTGATCATTGATCTCTTAACTGTGTGCGGCGCCCCCCTCCACCATAATCCACCCCGGTCATATCGTAGCGGTGCTTAGGCGAAGCCCTGTTCCGGTAGCATCATCATCACCGTCATCACGACATCGTGCTGACGAAGCTCTCCCTCGACACTCTACTGGATCATGAGTTCGTGGTACATCACCGAGATGAACGTGTGCAGATCGCGAAGGTGTCGTACCATCGGTGCTAGGATTGGTCGATCATGAAGACGTACGACTACATCAACCGCGTTGTCATAACACTTCCGCTTACGGTCTACGAGGGTACGTAGACAACACTCTTCCCTCTCGTTGCTATGCATCACCATGTTCTTGCGTGTGCATAGGATTTTTTTTTTGAAATTACTGTGTTCCCCAACACCTGCTACGTGTTATGATCCGTAATCCCCGGGGTGATAGTAATTGGGATACTTTCCGGTGATGATATAGTTTGAGGAGTTCATGTATTCACTATGTGTTAATGCTTTATTCCAGTTCTCTATTAAAAGGCGGCCTTAATATCCCTTAGTTTCCTTATGGACCCCGCTTCCACGGGAGGGTAGGACAAAAGATGTCATACAAGTTCTTTTCCATAAGCACGTATGACTATTTATGGAATACATGCCTACATTATATTTATGAACTGGAGTTAGTTCTGTGTCGCCCTAGGCTATGACTGTTATATGATGAGTATCATCCAATGAATTCACCGATCCAATGCCTACAAATTTTTTCACATATTGTTCTTGCTAAGTTACATTTGCTATTGCTACTGTTACAACTGCTACAAAACTATCACTATTGTTACCGTCACCACTACTATTGTTACCACTGCTATTAAACTATCATACTATTGTTCTACTGATCACTTGGCCGCATATATTTAATCTCCAGGTGTGGTTGAATTGACAACTCAACTGCTCACACTTACTAATATTCTTTGGCCCCCCTTGTGTCGAATCTATAAATTTGGGTTGAATATTCTACCCTCGAAAACTGTTGCGATCCCCTATACTTGTGGGTTATCAGTGCCAAGGGAGCCCATCAGTTTATATGCAAAAAGAGTGCCCGGTGGGCAGGGTAAAATGACGATGGATGCTAGGTCGATGGCAGGATTGAGCCCGGCCCCGGGTCGGCTTCACTACACTATAGCTATAGGGAGATGAATAGTGTGAACATGCACGCAGCCGCCATGCCCTGGCATGTCCGAGGCTTGCCTCTGCCCTAGATGATGGTCATTTGAGGCACGCAAATAAGATGAAAATGAACGACAAAAACAGATGGATAAAGGGTTTGGTGGAAGATAAACATACAACCAATCGGCCACCTGGCTAGGTGGAAGGTAGTGGGTTGTAATTTGCATGCTGAGATCGAAAATAGTGTGTACGAGCACCTGGACATCACACCCCGATGTACCTGGGGCTTGTCTCCGCCCCTGGGATGGATGGTCATCTAAGGCACGCAAAAAAGATGAAATGAGCGACAAAAATGGATGAGTAAAGGGTTTGGTGGCAAATAAACAGGCAACCAATCCGCCAGCTAGCTAGGTGAAAGGTAGCGGGTTGTAATTTGCGTGCTTAGATCAAAAATAGTGTGTACGAGCACGTGGCCATCACGCCCCAACGTGCCTGGGGCTTGTCTCCGCGCCCTAGATGGATGGTCATCTAAGGCATGCAAAAAAGATGAAATGAACGACAAAAACGGATGAGTAAAGGGTTTGGTGGCAGATAAATAGGCAACCAATCCGCCAGCTAGCTAGGTGGAAGATAGCGGGTTGTAATTTATGTGCTCAGATCGAAAATAGTGTGTACGAGCACGTGCCTTCACGGCCCAACATGCCCGGGGCTTGTCTCCACCCCTGGATAGATGGTCATCTGAGGCACACAAATAAGATGAAAATGAATGATAGAAATGCATGAGTAAAGGGTTTGGTGGCATATAAACAAACAAGCAATCAACCAGCTAGCTAGGTGGAAGGCATCGAGTTGTAATTTACGTGCTCAAATCGAAAATAGTGTGTAGAGCACATGGCCGCCATACCCCGATGTGTCTGGGGCTTGTCTTCTCCCCTGGATGGATGGTCATATTAGGCATGTAAATAAGATGAAAATGGACGACAAAAATGGATGAGTAAAGAGTTTAGCGGTGTTTAAACAGCCAAGCAATCAGCCAGCTAGCTATGTGGAAGGCGGTGAGTTATAATTTTCTTTAAATGTTGCTTATATGTAACATATAGACAATAAGAGGTAGCTAAAGGTAAATTACTTGACGATTAATCGAGGATGAACTCCAATTAATGTGAGTGGGTGGAATGGATGACCATCATGGGTCTATGCCCTTATTATTTTTAAGTGTGTCCTTTTATTTCCTTTTATTTGACCATAATGAGGGTGCATGTTGTCTGGTTAGCTGCAATGCACTATGGCAGTCGGTCCAAAAACAACTGAGTGCTTCTTCTCCTTCTAGTATCATGCTATAATAGGAATTACCAAGGGTGCGATCATAATGGCGATGTGATATTGCTAGCTACTGGCAGTAATCAGATGAGTGAGTTTTTCTGTTTTATTTTGAGGCGACACGAAGAGTGAGTGAATGAGAGGGAGATGTAGAACGGATGGGCCCATATGGTTGCTTCCTTGCTAGTTGTTTACCAGTCCAGCCCACCACCTAGATGGAGACACCAGCGTTGCTTTTCTTTCTTTTTTGTCTCTTTCTTACTCCTTCCCTCCCCCGCCGCTCTTTCTTCTTCCTCCTCTCCCCTGGTTCTCCTCCTCCTCCTATAAATCCTTCCTGCTGCAGCCTTTCCAAACTATCCCAACCCATTCGTTCATACACCAAAAATCCATCCACCCCCCTTCCTCTTACAAGCTAAGAAGCAGAGATCCAACAATCAACAGAGAAGAAGAAGAAGAAGAAGAAGAAGAAGAAGAAGAAGAAGAAGAAGAAGAAGAAGAAGATGTTCGCCGACATGGGCTTTAGCTTCTCCGCCTACTCTTCTTCGCCATCGGACTACTCCTACTCATACTCCCCTGTCTTCTCCCACCCCCACTCAGACTACTCCTCCTTCTTCTCTCCCTCTTCCTCCGCTGCTCTGGCACAACCATCATCGCTATCTCTGCCTCTCCTGCATCAACAACATCAAGCCACTGTTGTTGCTGCGCCCAACGACGTCGCCGCCGCCGCCATGTACCACCACCTCGTGAGTACCTTTTCCCCTGCTATCCTAATCTTTGCATACAACGGGTTGTAGTTTTCCTTAAATGTTGCTTATATGTAATATATGGAAAGTAGGAGGGAGCTAAAGGTAATTTACTTGACGATTAATCGAGGATGAATTACAATTAATATGAGTGGATGGAATGGATGAACATCGTGGGTGTGTGCCACTATTATATATAAGAGGGTACTCTCTTATTTCCTTTTATTTGACCATAATGAGGGTGTACGTTGTCTGGTTGGCTAAAAGCACTTTGGCAGACGATCCAAAAAGAACCGAGTGCTTCTTCTCCTTGTATCTTGCTATAAGAGGAATTACCAAGGGCGCGATCATAATGGCGATGCGGTATTGCTAGCTGCTGGCAGTAAGAAGAAGAGTGAGTAAGTGAATGAGAGGGAGATGCAGAAGCAAACATGCTAATATGGTTGCTTCCTTGCCATCTTGCTTGTTGTTCGCCAGCAGCAACAGCCCAGCACCGCGTGAGTGTCATGCCCTGGCTTGCCCAAGGCTTATCTTCGCCTTGGATGGATGGTAATTTGAGGCACGCAAATTATATGAAAATGAGAGACAAAAACGGTTGAGTAAAGGGTTTGGTGGTAGATAGATAAGCAAGCAATCAATCGGCCAACTAGCTAGGTGGAAGGTAGCGGGCTGTAATTTGCGTGCTCAGGTCGAAAATAGTGTGGACGAGCACATGGCCGTCATGCCCCGACGTGCCCAGGGCTTCTCTCCACCCTGGATGGATGGTCATTTGAGGCACGCAAAGAAGATGAAAATGAGCTACAAAAACGGTTGAGTAAAGGGTTTGGTGGTAGATAGATAAACAGGCAACCAATCGGCCAGCTAGCTAGGTGGAATGTAGCGGGTTGTAATTTACGTGCTTAGATCAAAAATAGTGTGGACGGCTATGTGGCCGTCATGCCCCGACGTGCCCAGGGCTTCTCTCCACCCTGGATGGATGGTCATTTGAGGCACGCAAAGAAGATGAAAATGAGCTACAAAAACGGTTGAGTAAAGGGTTTGGTGGTAGATAGATAAACAGGCAACCAATCGGCCAGCTAGCTAGGTGGAATGTAGCGGGTTGTAATTTACGTGCTTAGATCAAAAATAGTGTGGACGGCTATGTGGCCGTCATGCCCTGATGTGCCCGGGGCTTGTCTCCGCCTTCTGGATGGATGGTCATTTGAGGCACGCAAATAAGATGAAAATGAATGATAAAAAAAGATGTGTGAAGAGTTTAGGCATATAAACAGCCAACTAGTTAGGTGGAAGGCAGCGGGTTGTAATTTTCTTTAAACATTACTTATATGTAATTTACTCAATGATTAATTGAGGATGAATTGCAATGAACATTTGTGGATGGAATAGATAAACATAGTGGGTGTATATCAGTAATATATACTCCCTTCGTCCTATAATATAAGAATGTTTTTGACACTGGTGGGAGTATAAGAGTGTGTTCTCTTATTTGCTTTTATTTGACTATAATGAGAGTGTATGTCTGGTTGGCTACAATGCACTCTAGCAATCGGTCCAAAAATAACCAAGTGCTTCTTCTCCTTCGAGTATCATGCTATAAGAGAAATTGCCAAGGGTGCGATCGTAATGGTGATGCGATATTGCTAGCTGCTGGCAGTAAAAGTGGGATTTTTGTTGTTGTTGTTGTTGTTGTTGTTTAGGCGACAAAAAGAGTGAGTGAAGGAGAGGGAACCGGACGGCCCATATGGTTGCTTCCTTGCTTATTGTTTAGCAGCCCAGCCCACGACCAAGATTGGAGACACACACCAGCTAGCGTGGCGGCTTTTCTTTCTTTCTTTCTTTCTTTTGTCCCTTAATTTCTTCCTCCTCCCCTCCTAAAAAAAGAGTCATCCTACTACTCCCGTCAAAAAATAAAAAAAAATCCTCCTACTCCTCGTATATATAATAAATCTTTCCTGCGGCGGCTTCCATCCTTTCCAATCTCTCTCTACCCGTTCCTTGTCGTTCGTTCATCCATCCCTTCTTCTTCCTCTTCTAACAAGCCAAGAAGCAGAGAAGAAGAAGAAGATGATGCTCGCCGACGCGGGCTTCAGCTCTTCTTTTCCGCCGAGGCCGGGCTACTCCCCCACAGTCTTCTCCCACCCCCACCCAGACCACTCCTCCTCCTCCTCCACCTGTGCCTTCGCTGCTCCGGCGCAACCGCCGCCAGCACTGCCGCTCCTGCATCAACAACATCAATAAGCTAAGCAATCTCCTGGATCAGATCACATCAACCCACTGCACTGAAGTTCCTGCTTCTTCTTGCTGCACTTCAGTTTTGGAGATCAAATAAAAGGTGCTCGCTCGCTCAAGTTGGATTCTTCTCCTCTCCTGTCCTCTCCGTGGAGGCAAATTATAATGTCGCTTTCTTTCCCCCTTGTTGTTTCCGAGCCCCACCTGCGATATCGACGGCCACTTTAGATTCATCTCCCGATTTTTAATAATACTCATCCACTAATTAACAAAAATAACATCTCTAATAAGTAGTACTTACTGCCCACCTTTTATTTTTAATTAACCACTCATTGCTTCCTCCTACCTCCTTTCCTTTCCTTTACTTACTTTTTTCTTGTTGCAAACTCATATAATATCTATGTATGGACTATGGACCAGTGCTACTTTACTGATTGTCATCAACATGCATCAATCACACTGTCAAGCTGCAGCCTGCACATTTTTAGCTACTGATAGATACCTTGTGATTTCATTCACTCATTCATTCAGGAGAAAACAGATGCATGCCTTGTGATTTATCATATCGAAGAAATCGACGGCAGATTTTATGACCCTCGCTGTTTTCTTTTATGTAATATAAAGATCCCAGATAGCACTTGGTCATGTTGCCTCCCAACTTTGAATCTTCTTCTTCTCACACAAAGGCCAGCCAGGTCACTGCTTTCTTTAATTTGGAAGGAGGGATCGAATTAGCCTGAGATTTTGGCCAATTTGAGATGCCACTGTCCCTGGGCGGTATATGCTCTTCCTCTTGTCATCTGCTCTCATGTGCTCTGGTGGTACCAGCACATGCCGACAGTTGACATGTGCTCCTACACTAGAATACAACTACAAATAGTACGTACCACCTAGAAGCTACAGCACCTCTTATTTACACTCTCCCTGCTCATGAAAACAATTTTTATTTTTGTTTTTGAAAAAGGAGAAAGACCCCCGGCCTTTGTATCTAGGCGATGCATGCAGCCACTTTATTAATTATGCATAAAAAGACCTTACAAGGTAATACAATAGTAAGACTGAAGCCACCGTCTAGGCAACATTTGTCGCTACTCTTATCTAGTTGATAAAGGGATGCTAATAGTCTGGGCCTAATATCAAATAGACCTCGCAGTCAAACCTAACATTTAAGACCTGAAGCCCCAACCAGGACGCCTACCGGGTATGGAGCACCCACCGGTCGGCGCACACTCATGAAAACAATTGTCTTTTTATTTCTCCCTTTCTACTCAATGAATGGATGAATCAGAAATAACTAGTTAAGTTTCCCTAATAATTAAGTGTTTGTAGTAGGATTATTAAATAATTAAGTTGACTTCTCTGCTCTAATATTTTGTTTCATGTATGGAAAAAATTATTAACAGGGAGACATGGGGCAGCCATCCCTGATATCAGAGTATGACCTTGGAGCAGAAGGCGACCTGTTCAAGGCTCCGGAGCCCATAATCGAGGAACCGCTGCTCGCCCTCGACCCGGTCGCAGAGGCCATCTCGATGATGTCCGGCAGCGGCAACACCATCAAGGCGTCGGACATGAGCCTGAGTGAGGCGCTGTACGAGTGCGAGAAGGAGCTCATGGAGGAGTCGGCCATCGAGGAGACCATATCCGAGCTGCTGGACGCCAAGATCCCCATGCTGCAGGTCGAGGACATGCCCGGAGAGCTCATGTCGACAACGACTGCTGCCGCCGGCGAGTGCTTGGTCCAGAAGAGCGTCAGCTCCGGGTGCCTCAACTCGGCGGACTGGATCAACGGTTTGGCGATGCAGCCCAACTTCTTCAACTTCCAAGGGCTCGACTTGGAGGCCGCGTTCGGGCTCCGGCGAGCCTACAGCGAGGGTGACGTTCAGGTATGTTGCACTGCACTGCACAACACAACACTAGATGAAAATGGAAAATGGAATTATTGTGATGAGCTTTCACCTTTGTGACTCTAAGTGAGCACAGCTGTCGACAAAAGAGACGCCAAGTACACTTAACCAAACTAACTAAAAGGCGTTGCTTTCTCATGGCATTGGACAAAAACCTCACTGTAGATGCAAGACTGAGTTTAGCTCAACATGAAAAGGCCGTTTTATATTAAAAAAAAAAGACTATGAAGGACACGCACTAGGTAGCTAGTGATGTGATTTCAGAGGTTACTAATTCTACCCAAAGCCACCTTTCCCTTAATGGCCTCATCACTGCTTTAGCTGATAGTACTACTGGCACTGGGCATATATACCTACCCTGCGCACTCACCACTAGTCTAGCTATAGAGCATCTCTAGAGATACGGCAAAAACGTGTCTCCTAAAAATAGTATATGGCTCTCCCTAAACCGGATTTGTGGTACCGCGTGGCATCGGACAGAACAATGCCCTAAAAATTGTTTGGGGGTCACATGTGGAGGCCACTAGTCAGTAGTTGAATTTACAATAAGGTCCCTACAAAATTGCACAACACACCCTAAAATAGAAAGATAGATTACGATTGGTTCACGGAGCACAACACAGCCTAAGATGACTTATTAGGATCTTTTTACCTCTTTTTTTGACAGATCCTTGGTGCCAACACCCCTCCAGCTGGGATCGCGGCAAATGTGCACGCAGCTGGTGAGAGGCTTCTGACCATCAGTGACCTGAAACGTGAGGAAAGGAAACAGAAGCTCAACAGGTACAGGGAGAAGAAGATCCAGAGGAACTTCGGCAGAAAGATCAAGGTACACAAACTAATCTCTCTTCCTTTTTCTTCTTCTACTAGTACACATGTAATTCACCAAGAAGATTGAAGAAGATCAGAGAGTGATAGATGCTTTATATTCTGTGCTCTACAGTATGCTTGCAGGAAGGTTCTAGCAGACAGCCAACCGAGGGTGCGAGGGAGGTTCGTCAAGATGGATGTCGGCGACATGCTCAAGCCAAGGAAGTAGACCGCCATGGAAGGTCGCTGCGAAGCTGATGAGGAAGTTAAGCAAGGTTATTCCAGGAAGCTGATGAGCGTGTTGAGGTGCAGTGTGTAGGCGTCAAGCATGTCAAGTTTGGGGTTCCTTCTTCACCAACAACGGTAGTGAACCATTCATTTGCTGTTATACTTGAGAGCACTACAGGTACTAAGAGGCGTCTCTCTCATGGCCAAGATCTTGTCTTCAACATGAACAACCGTAGTACCGAGACTCTGAGAGTGTAGAGTTTAGGAGTGTCTCGTGTAAAAGAGTTTGCATTGAGAGAATTGAGGTTGTGTTAGGAGCAGAGTGTTCTGTCACTCATGTTACTGAGGAAGTGGATGGAGCTGAGGAGGTGTTACTGGTTAGTAGTAGGGAATTTGTGCGAGAGTAGAACGATGTCGATGATGTGGCAAAGGAAGCTACCGATCAACTAACGGGCGCACATGATGACGCCCATCGGGAGCCATGAAAATGATGTGTTGGATCTATCAAGGCTTGGCTCAACCTCGCATAGTCCCAGAACTTGTGCGCCTCTCCAAGACGCACTGACTCAATGTTATCTTCCTTTCTGAAACTAGACAAAATAAAGGGTATGTTGAGAGTTTGCATTGTTGTTTTGGTGTGAAAAATGCTTTAGTGTTTCTGTTCAAGGCAAAGGTGGAGGTCTGGCCGTGTTTTGGGATGAGCTATGTTCTCTTGAGTTAAACAAACTTAGGAAAAAGTTTTTCTCTTAGGGTTTCTTGTGCCGCCGTCGCCGCCGCCACCAATTTAGGTCCCCTCACCTCCGGCTACCATCTTGGCACTGAGAGGTGAGGGGACCTCAGATCTTCAAGACCTCCATGTTCTTCGTCAACGTCTAGTGATCATCGTAGTTTCGTGAGAATAAATTTCCTCTCGTTCATTTGGCGGTGCTATGAGGTTAGAAAGTTTTTTGTCCTCGCAGATCCGATTATTCGGATCTGACGAGTTTATGTTTATGTGTCAAGTTTTTTTTGTTAGCATGGTTCTTTGTGGAGTTGAGATCTTTCATCGACATCATGGTGAAGATATATTGATTCGACGACCTGCACTTCTAGGGGATCATCCCCGGCCAAGTACGTTCATCGATTAAGGTTTCCCATCTTTTTGGATGGGGGACACAAGGCGCTTTCAAAAACCATTATTGGTAACGTTCGTGTGGGTGAAAGAGTGATAACATCATTGCTCCTGTCCAATTGCAGCCTCTTTACCGAAGTCTTTGGAGTATTCTTCGAGCAGAGATTGATACGCGAAGAAGGTGTTTTCAATAGATTTCATTGTAATTCTTAGTCATAGGAGTTACTTTGTATTTCTTGGATCTTAGCTCCAAATCAGTGCACACGTAATTGTTATGTGTATGAATAAAGTTACAGGTGTTTCTGAAAAAAACTTATGAAACATTCTATTGACATCTATGTTTGCAATGGAGATTGCACAAAATGGGGGAGCATCTTCGTTTATGTGTAACGAAAGGCAAGCCAAAGTACTTTACTTTTTCCATATGCCGAAGTTGTTGTTCTCCAGGCAACCTCTAAACATCCCTCATCTCATACCGCGCAGCTTTACTTTTTTTTTTGCATGAAATCAGTGCATGGAATTCATCATCTTCTCCATTGCCTTAGATAGGACTCTCCATTGCCACGGATAAGACATGTGATATCGTTCTCTAAGGTACGCCTCCATCTGTTCTTTTAGCCAAAGTACTAGTTGCATCTCTCCACACAAAGACTAATTTTGGGGGTTGCTGCTATGTCTCTTTTCGGTACCGCTCATTCCACTATGACTTCTTTTTGTTAAATCACTGTCGATTGAGTGTCACGTTGGCTTTTCCTATGTTGTATTTATCTTATTCAAAAATATAAAACAAGAAGAAAAAAAGTGCAACGATTTGGTGCCAAGGTGCATCTCCGCCTAAGTGTAAACAGTAAATTTAAATAAAGTACCAAAAAATTGAAACTTTTGCAATGCAAGACGCTCGAATGCGTGTTGCGCGTGCAAAAAAGGTGTGGTGTTTAAACATTCGAGGATGTCGTGGTAAAAAAGACAAAAAATGGTTGTGAAAGAAACTTTGAGAAAGAAAACTATTTGGACCCAATTGTTTTTCCTAGAGGTCCTGGAATATCCCAAAACTGTAGAAATTTGCACTCTCCTTGTACACCTGAGCAGCTTTGATGGCAGAAAAAATCAGATATTTTAAAATTACTCTACTACTTTTTTTGAATTTACTATTCAATGGAGGTAGATGAGCCCGGGCTCAGAAGTGAATTACCAAAAAAATTGATGCGGTTACGAGAAGACATTTCAAGTTTGCTGGGCTATTGCTCCAGGTGCGGTTACGAGGCTTTAACAGAAAACGTCTCCAGAACGGGGACATGTACTAATTGAAAGTACATTATGATATTCTTCAGGATCTTTAGTCCTCATTTTTCATCCTTTTTGGTCATTCGATGACAAAGGGGGAGAAATTTGAGTTAGTCTTTAAGCGGGTCTCATTATATGGGTGTTTCTTTGCTAAGTTACAACTCTTATTCTTCTGAAATATTTGTTGGATCGAGTTGTAAACTTCCGATGATGGCTTGATACTTTTGCTCTGTTTTTCTGCATGCTATTTCCTTATATATGTTAATGCACGCATGCTGAATTACATCAGTCGTCATATTTCATCACGCATTTCAAATTCTTCATATCATATGTTAAATGCGTGTATGAGTTACAAGATAGGGGGAGATCTCCATGATTCCACTCTACAATGTGCATTTGCTATTCAAAGCAAATTCCTCACATATGCACATCTTCAGGGGGAGTTCTTATATATCTTGCAATCAAATTCCTCAATATCAGTGTTTACATTTCATATGTTTATCCCCATTGAAAACTTGACCTATATTGTCATCAATCACCAAAAAGAGGAAGATTGTAAGTGCATCTAGTGCCCCTTAGTGATTTTGGTGTATTGAAGACTTATAGATTAAGGGACTAATGAGTTTGTGAGTGTACACAGGTCTATAAGTCTATGAGGAGTTTGATATTTACGATGAAAGTCGACCCCTAAAAATGAATGTCTTCAGCTGAAGACTTTTTTTTTTCTTGAAGACTTTAAAGTGAATAAATTAGTGTGACCGTGAAGACTTGATATTCATGCGAGGATTATGAAGCATGAAGACTTTTGTTTTCGTAGTTTCATTTTCTCTTTCTTGAGTCATAGGAGAAACTAAGGAAAAATTTCCAAGTGATGCTCGTCTCAAAATCCTACACCTACCCAATCCTTTCGAGTGAAGCCATTGGAAATCTTATACAGTTCAGTCAATTTCTTCAGTGACAGAGACGAAGATCTTCTGTTCTCTGAAGAATTTGTTCTGACTGAGGAGTTAGGAATCGCCAGTACGGATTGCCTACAAGTGAGGAACATGATAGCCCTGAGGAATTTGAGACTCAAATATCCCACCGTTGCTGTGTTACGCGCCAGCTGTCCCAAAATATCTACCCACCTAACGGTCATATCATTGAAGGGCATTTATGGCTTATCATGTCGGGCTGTTCCCTAGGCTATAAATAGTCGCCCCCTACAACCACTAGCTGGTTGGCTGCTCCGCGAGAAACTGACACTTGTCATTGAGAGCAACCCATCCTCCGAGGACTATGAACAAAAATCATCAAGTGAGGAAAACCGAAACCCAAACACCTACCAACCCAAAGTGATTGAACATCACTGAGGAGATTGTTCCTGTGTAGAACCGACGCTTTTTACCTTTGAGGACTATGCATCCTCCAAACGGTTAGGCGTTATGGTCTAGAGCATCCAAGAGGAAATTGTGGATCGCTGAGTGACCGAGTCTGTGAAGGTTGGGAAGTCACCTGAAGACTTACCACGAGTGATTGGGCGAGGTTTGTGTGACCTTAGCTCAAGGAGAATACGGTGAGGACTGTGTGTCCTCAGGTTTAAATACCTAGCCGCTCCAACCAGACGTACGACTGTCACAGCAGTTGGAACTAGTCTACCAAATCACTGTCTTCACCATGCTACTACTTCTATTTCCTCAACCCTTTCATTTCCTCATTTCTGTGTAGAAGTACTTGATCGTTACTGTTTGAAGACTGACTGAAGACTTTCTCAATTTCCTCAATCTTAATTCTTCAGTCACTTTGTCTTCAGCCTGCTTATCATGTGTTTACGCTTCTTGTATTCTATGCTTGTTTTCATTTCATCATAATGACTGTGCTACTACTCTGTTATGCTTGCATCTGAGTACTTATTTCGCTGCTAAGTAGTTTATTGCTTAGGAATTTCCTCACCCTGAAATTCCTTAGTGGCGAATTTGTAAAAATCGCCTATTCACCCCCTTCTAGTCGATATAACGCACTTTCAAAGGATCATATCGGGGTTACTAGGTATCTATGCGTGTCTATATCTAGTATGTATGTCCGGACCGTCCCCGCGTCTGTCGGGACGAGGCCATTCCACACGACCATCGTGACAGTGCGTGAACTGGGTGCAACTATGTGTGTGCCTGGGCGAGGGGGTGGGGGATGAGTTTATAGGCGCATCGTGTGGAATGGCCTCTTCCCGGCAGATCCATCTATGTCCACATCAAGTTTTTTTCTTCTGATTTACATGCAGACACAAAGTATAGATAAATGGCATTTTATCCCGATATGTGTTTAGGTAGGATCATCATGTAAAGTTCCCCCGCGGGCGTGCTGGGGTTGCTTAGCGACCACCTGGTCGTTCTGCTGGAGATCGTGTTAGGAAACGTGGTAGAAAACAAAAAAAAAACAATCGCCATACGATCACCCAGGAACAATATGAAGATGCATATAAGGTTTGGGTCAATGATCGTTACTAACTCCGGAGTGTAGCGGAAGTGGATGGGTCGGTGTAGATCGTACTTAGAGTGCCCTCAAATCTGCTCCGTCACCCAGTGGTAAACCGTCCGTGCCTAGAGCCAACTGACGGAGCAAAATCCTGT